TCTATTTGATTCAAAATTTCAGCTTTTCAAAATCTCTTCTTCTTTTTTTCTTTTTTCTTTTAAGTAACCGTATTTATAAATAAAATGTGAAATTTAGCCTAATTCATTGCACTTTTAACATTTGATATTATTTTCTATGTTGTATTGATCATTTACATTACTAAAAAATAATTATTAAAAATTATTTGTCAATTAACAAATTAAACTATAATTTTATTTTTATTTCATTACACTAATAATTCATTCTTCTTAAAAATATAAACAGAATTTTTAAAATTGCAAAACAATTCTTAAGGAGCAAATTAAAAAAGTATCATTTTTATTTCTAATTTCTTAAAGAATCCGTAAAAGAGTAAATAAATGACTAATACGAAAAGCTGAAGGGGTATAAATTAATATTTTTTTTCTTCTCAATAATTTCATATATACTTAAGTAAAATATAATGGAAAGAGCATTAATAATCTTGACAAATAATTACAGAAGTTTTTATAATATATTAATGTAACCCAAAATAAAAAATTATCTATAAATACTTAAATATATATACACTCTTCCGCCAATTTATATGATATCTTTTTATTCTTGAAATTAAAGCAATGTGAAATTTGATTAATATTTTAATATATATCTTTTATATTAACATAAGAACAACAACTTATAATGTCAACAAATAATTCATCCCCCTAAGTTGCAATTGAACAAAAAATAATATAAGTTGCAATTCTTATCATGTTAGCATATGGTATAAACTTTATAGCTTGAATTTCAAGAAAAAAATAATGAAATAAATTGATGGAGGGAAAAACTACATAATATGGCAAACTTCAATATATATTTAAATAATTTAGTTATAATTTAATTTTTTTATGTTATATGACTATAACTATACAATAAATATCAAATTTAATTGTATATCAATAATAAGTTTTGTTATGTTTAATATAAATAAATAATAAATAGGAAAATTATTATTAAACTCATAATTAATTATGTATTCATATCTTCTCTTTCATCAATATCCTTATATTACAGTTTTTTTTTGTATTGTCCCCCCCAATTCCTTCCCATTCAAGGTCTTTTTGTATGATTATAGGAGTGATTTTTGTGGTTCAACTCATTATACTTATATTTGTGGTTCGATCAAATGTCAACTGCTTATATTTAATAATACTTATATACATAGATAATTGTATTGTAATATTAATAAAATGGTGATTTGTGAATACAAATATAATTGGATACATAAGTAATTATCCAATTTGATTAGACAATACAAGTATAGTTGGATACATCAATACTATATTTTTATAAATAAATACCTAAGTTAATGTCAAGCCTCAAGTATCATAGAAAACTTCACAAAAAATAGATCGACATTTTGTTGTTTTTTATAATTTTTTATACAGTCGAGTACTTGTACACTTTGATACATATACATTCTACTGTTTTTCATTTACTTATTTAACAACAGTGTGTTCATATTATAGTATATTGATATATTCATTTTTTTGGTTAACAGTAGTGTATCCATTTTTCAAATTGTTGTATTCATATGCTAAAATTGTACTACTTTACCTTGTTTGATGTATTAATACATTAAATTTTATAAATACTTGTATCCTTGATATATTAATACTTTAAGTTTTATAAATAGAAACACCAAGTTGAATTCAAAGTATTCATATGTTAATTGTACAAGTGATACTTTTTCCTTATTTAGTTATTGTAATTACAACTGTATTAGTATATAAATAATAAAAAATAAAAAATATATGCAAAAATACAACGAGAAAAGACATGAATAAACTTTTATATTCAAAATTTTATTAAGTACCTTTATGATTACTATTTAGTGGATATATTATATTAAGGAATATAAATACAACCTTTTGTATTATGTGAATCAATCATATTTGCATACAATATCTAATTATTAGTTGGTAATTTAATAATGAAAATTTCAGTTATTTAGCAACATAAAAAATGGTTGGTTTTTGGAAGTTATTGTAACATATCATACATTATTTAGTGCATTGTACAAATAATAACAATAACAATAAAATAAAATAAATTTTAGTACAAACATGCAACTAGAAATTGACATAAAGTGTAGTCATTTCTAGTAAATAACATATTTATAGCTATTGAACTTCAATAACACTATAAATATAGTCATTTTTGTAAGTTGCTCATGAAAGAATTGATTAATTATATCTTAATTTTGTTGATTGACAAGTAATTTTAAATAATTATTTATGTTTATCCTAAAACTAAAATAGTTAATTTTTTATGAGCTTAAAGTACACACATCTTAATTTAACTTTTTTAATACGTTATTATTTGAATTCAAATTTAAATTAGTATCAATATATTTATCTCTATGTGGCTTTTGACAAATAAATATTATGAACTACAAAATAGTTAAGGAAAATAAATGTTAATTTTAAGAAATAATGAAATACTAACATTAACATATTACTATTTTTTTTCTTTTTTCTTTTATCTTGTTATTGTATTATTTTAAATTTATCTAATGAAATATATTTAAATTGAAAAACAATATAAAATACTTTATATTAAAGAGAGGGGTAAATAGAAGGTGGGATGGAGGAGTGAGAAGAGAAAAGGGAGGTTGAAAAGACATGAGATCTAGAAAATGTATTTTTTTCTATTAAAATTTCCTCATACAACAAATTACATGGTATACCTGAATATCTTAAAAATTTTCCAAGAACAAACAACACAAGAGAATTTGTGAAAAACTTTTTATTTCTTCAATATATAACCACGTGATCGATTTGCCAAGTTATTTTCCCTTTAGTAAACACCCAATTCACTTTCACATTTGATTCCATCGTGATGCCCATATTTATGTACAACCAACAACTTGAAAAGATGAGTTACTATTCACATGAAAATTTATAATCCACTTTGATTGTAGTTGAACATATTAAATCTTTCCAAAAAAAATTTCCTTGTCAAATTCTTTGGAACTCACTGTAATCACAATATAATGAACAATTTCATTTTTTTGGGTAGTAATAAATCATTTCTTTCGAAACTCTCGGAATTTGTGTATTAACGCATATTCCAAAACACCATTCATGTAGGGAATATCTTCTAGAGAGGAAAATACTAACCTCTGTTCTGCAACCTATCACCATAAACTCCCCAATTCTACCTACCATTGTAAGAGCTTAGCCAATACAGGTGAATTTCTACTTGACCCAATACTACCATCAGTTACTCCAGTCCTATCATATTTCCAAACGCTAGAATCCTGAGATGCCATCTTCCTGACGTAAATGAGACGATGCAAAATCTTGTAGCATCTCGAAAAGGGATGGAAGCTAGATTTAAACAGAAGGGTGCTCTCTTTCTCAGAAGACCTATAGGGATTGACATGTTGAACATCACTTCCAGAGTACTTTAGGCTGGTGTTTCGACTTTCTGCCACAGAGAGAGATCAAGAGGACTAACATTTAGAGTAGACAAGGCTTTTGAATTCATATTTTGATTCAAGTCGCCATCAACTTGAAGCTGTAACAAAGAGCTTTGGAGCCATTAGTATGTAATTGAGGGTTCCAAAAAAACATATTCTCCAATTGAAAATCAAACTTCAAAACCATTAGAGAGACTTTTCCTATATTGTGTCCATTACAACTAATTTGACAGAACATCCAACTTATTTTGTATAATCCTCAGGAGTATTATGTTTCGGACTCAAGACAATCTAAAAAATAGATAAGTGACATAGACTACTAGGACACTGAGACTCAATCATGGAAGCTAATTGACTAAACCTTTTTGTATAAGTAGCTGATTCACTAAACTTACCACATAATTGAATTTCTAGACAGTTAAAACCATAGAATGTTTCAACATCATGTGTGGAGAAAATCTGGATTACTTAATTTGTTGAAGACACGGTGCTCAGATAAATCTAAAAACTGAATAATGCTTCCCAAAAGTTTGAAAGCACGGACACAATAAAGGAATATCCACGGTCACTTTATGTAGTTGGTAGTAAAAGAGGTATGCTTAATGGGTAAAAATAAGGGAGAGAGGCATTCAGTATCTTCAAGATGCTATCTTTGTGGTAAGGAAGCTGAGAGTAACTGTCACCTTTTTTTTACATTGTGAAGTGACTTCTCAAATTTGGAACATCTTTTTAAGCACAAGTATCAAATGGGCGACGCCTAAAAACTCTTTGGAGTTGTGAAATGCTGGAAGAGGTTAGGATGGTTACTCAAACAGAAGAATTGATTGAAGATGATCCCACTATGTATTTGGTGGACACATTTGAGGGGAAAAAACTTGATTTGCTTTCAAGGCATGAGTAATCAAATTCAGAAGATCAAGATAAACTCCCTTTTGTTATTTCCATTTTTGGTGTAAGGAAGAACCCCACTAGTGGACACTGTAGCTATCCTAGAAATTTTAGAAGCATTGTAAATAGCTTAAGGTTTATCAAAAGCAGGCTCCCTACTCCACAAAGTAGGGGTAAGGTCTACGTATATCCCACCCTCCCCAGAACCCACTTGTGGAATTTCACCGAGTATGTGGTTGTTGTTTTGTTGTTGTTGCATTCTTATGCATTTCCTTTGTTTTTACTGTCTATAATTTCTGTGAACTAAATATATATTGTTCAAAAATAATTTCCAAGTGGAAGTGCAACAATAAACAACATATTAAAGGACACTATGACATTCATCATCATGCCCTACCAATTACCATTTTAGTTATTGGTGCCCAGGACTCTTTTCTGCTTGATATGGGAAATTAACTGGGGCGCAAGTTATACTATGGAACTTCACCTTGTAAACATAATTGTACCCTATCACGTCATCTTTTAGGCTCGTGGAACAGCCTGAGATTCACAATATTTTTTTAAAACTTCAAATATATAAATGGGTAGATATTGAGTCCTCATCACAAGCAGCAAAGGAAATATCACTAGCTAAGTCAACTAACTTCAGAATTGAGCAACATCACAAAATTACCAAAACTTGATGGAACATGTCAACAAGTCTTCTTTCTTAATTATTGTAATCAAGAAGTGACTGATGCCACCCTGTGCTAGTTGAAGATAAAAGGGAAGAACATCAAAGAAAATAGGTTACAACTTGAATAGAAAAAACAGTTTATGAGATAAGAGTGTCTGAGTAGACCATTTGTAACAAACAAATGACGTAATAATTGTCTTGTTACTCAGACAAAGTTTCCCCATCATAAGTAACATATTGGGAATGATATGAGTAGAGATGCATTTTGATGGCAGCAAAAAGTTGTTACATACTAACCTACTATACACATTGATGAATGCATCTTCCACATTTCTAGCTTTCCCTGTCAGTACATCAGCAACTTATAGAATGCAGCAAGAACAAATTGTTTCTATAGGTAAATGACTTATACTTGGCACCAATGCACCACAGATGGCCTTGTACTTCAAGGTCGCCTTTCATTCCTGCTGTTTCCCATACAAACTTGAAAAGCCCCAGAGCTCTGCTTAGCTGCTTTACCCCGCTCTGCAGCATATTCTGCTCATCAGACGTTAGGATCTTTCCCATGCACAGACGAAACTTATCCCCACGACCAATTGGATAAAGCCCTCCACATACTTCAATATCAACATCCCAGATGCTGCCATAAAGATAATAAAGAAGAAGTGTGAACGCACACCGTGATGAGTGTCCCAATGTCTTAATCAACTTTTTATGCACTAAACTCTCCTGATAGCAAGCTTCCTTAAATCCAATGTTTTTGTCTATGAAAACATCCTTAATCTGATGAAGCCCCTCTTTCATGACCTCAAGCTTCTTTACCTCCGAAGTTAATCTTTTCTCTTCACTCAAACAATCAATAAGGTCGCCGAACATTTCCAGAACACCTTCCCACTTATGGGAAGCAGGTGACTCCACACCTTTTGCAGGTACGATGCGCATCCATGAATTGGATTCAGGGTCATAAGAAGTTGCATTCTCTAAATACTTTTGACAAGTTGTAACTATTTGTTGAGCCATTCTAATATCTTTATTCGGACATCTATAATTTAGAAAATCAATATTAGATTTTAGTCCATTCAATATCTCCTCAACTGTCCCTGTCCATACGGGGTACTTTGTAACCTGTGCACATATTGATTGCCTGACAAGTTTCCTTTGTTGTGCAGAAACATTCAGGAAGTTTGAAATTTTTGCAAGGGAATCAACTGTAATTGATTCCCTCTCGCTATCTTTACTGAAACAGACAGGCTGATCACATTGTACATCAGCTAATGCTTGTGCCACATTCTTATTCATCATTTCTTGCATTGATGGACACCCAATAAAGGTCCTAGCCAGTGATTTAAAATAAGATAACTTTTGTTCCAAACTTTCATCATACACTCTTGAGTGATCACTAACATTTACTAACTTCCCATCAACTAAGTCCACATTTTTCAGCAAAAGGTTCAATTTTGTTAATTTTGAGAAAGCTTTCACGTACCATTCGGAAGACAAAGACTCGTCCTGGAATTCCTCTGAGCAGTGATGAAACCGCATCACCCCACTAATCTTGGCTGTCAACATCTTAGCTCGAGGTATAAGGTTCCTCCTCACGCTACACATTCCCATTGTAAGATCAACTTAAAGTTACCATGAAAGATACACTTTAAACAACCAGCAACTGATTTGTTTTCTTCTTCTGACAATAGGGACGCCTAAAAACCCAACCTCATCGAAAATTCAACATACTCATCCACTGAGGTATTTCATCGATCAGGTTGTGTGCATATATTTCTTATTTCATCGATCAGGTTATGTGCATATATTTCTTCACAATCATTGAAGGCTCAAACGAATTCAAATCTTGAAGTAGTCAAACTAGAATGGATATACAACACCATAAATTTTCAGCATTGGTGAAGAACAATATTCACAAAAGGAGAGCGAGGCTATAGTTTAACGCCTTAAAAGTTTGGTACAAGAAAAAGAAAGTGTGGGGCAAAATACCCAATAGTACACCTCACCTCCTTCCGTTTTTTTTTTTTAAGTTTTGTATTTAAATTATTGGGAGTGTTATTCGTACTTTAAAAATCACTATTTAATTTAGGAAAAATTATGTACTACACTTTTTTTTAGTCTTATTTTCTATTTCAAAAATCTCTCTTTTCTTCAATTTCTTTTACTTGTTTGGATACATTCCTCTAAACAATCACCTACAATTTTTTCCTTTTCACGTTGTAATCATTTAAATTTATTTAAATATAAATTTATTGAACAATTCAGATTGTATCAAATTTATAAATATATATGTATTAATATAATTAAATTAATTATTTAAATTCAATAAATATGAATTTAATTAAAGTCTGCTCCATAAAGCCCACATGCCATGTCACTTAAATCTGACTGGCCGAAGGGAGTCTTATTCCAATTGCAACTCCTCTATTCAAAAACTATAAATAGGGGTCTCAAAATTCAGAAAAAGAGGGTCAAGAATTTTAACAAGAATCTAGAGAATGCTCGTGGATCAAAAGCCGCAGATTTCTCTACAAGTTCAAGAGTTCAAGAATTCAAGCATTCAAGTTTCAAGAACGATCTAGATCAAGACCGCCGGATTAAAGATCAAGCTCGAAGCCCTTGGATTAAACTAGAAGTCTAGATAAAGATAAAGTTCAAGTTCATGATCAAGATAAGTTCAAGATAAAATTCAAGATAAAGTTCAAACCAAGATCAAATCCAAGGGCGAGATCAAGATCAAGATAAATCTCAAGTTCAATATCAAGCTAAGAGACCCTGAGTTATATTTGAAAAGGTGAATTTTGGAGGATATAGAGATTGTAATACTCGCACTTGAAATAATAAAGTAGTTGTTGCTATAATTTTTTGTTCTTGATTATTGTTTTCTCGATGCAAATTTTACTATGTACAAATTCTAGCACGCCTAGTTGGACAATCTCTACCTCTCATCTCAACTTTTTAAACATTAAAGAATATCGAGATGACTTCCATGAAGATCAACTCTCAATCAATTGCCTCTAGGAGCACTAGATCCAAGCTCTCTACTGAAGTTGAAGACATTCTGGGTGTTCCCTTTGGAAGTTTTGGAGCTGTTACGAGGAGCAAAGCTCCTATGCTAGGTTACAAACACTTCAAGTGTCGTCCGCGTCAACTCCAGTTTTAGGTCTGTGACTCTAAAAGGATCAACTTCCTCCACAAATGCTTTAGAAGGGGAAATCAGTGTTGCTGAAAAGATCAAGAAGGCCTTATCTTTACTTGAGCAATCTGGTTCCAAGAACTTTACCACAAAGAAGAACTATGATTCAACCAATGAATCATCTCCACATGCATCACTTAACGTGATTCTACTGAAGATCAACTTACTCAATAATCCATGCTACTCTCCTACATCTCCAATGATCATGCAAACAATGGTGATTGGTGCTTCTTCCCCTGAGGAACAACTCGCAAATCTGACAAGTTATCAATGGATTGAATGGAAGGAATTTTAGATGGAGAAGTGAATCATGCACCCAAAAAATGTGTTGACGTTCAAGAGATTGGAGAACCTCGAAGAAACCACTGCTTGTTAATGAGATGACACTTTCTTCTAAATGAATGATCCCACTCGATCGCTTGTAAGAGTTCATTAAAAGAACTATCAAAGATAAGTATAAAGTCTTCATGAAGTCCTTTCATATGTATGTCAAACCATAGACTGCGAGAATTGATAGCTTCGAAATGCCTGTTGGTTATCAACCTGCTAAGTTTCAACAATTCGATGCTAAAGGGAATCCAAAGAAATATGTTTCACACTTTGTGGAGACATGTCATAATTTTAGGACCTATGGAGACCACCTTGTCAAGTAGTTTGTCCACTCTTTAAAGGGAAATTCCTTTGATTGTTATACGGATCTCGAGCCTAATTCTATCGATAGTTGGGAACAACTAGATCACGAGTTTCTCAATCACTTCTACAACATAAGGCGTATAGTAAGTATGGTATAAATCACGAATACTCGCCAAAGAAAGGATGAACCGGTCATAGATTTCATAAATAGGTGGAGGAACACGAGCCTGAATTGGAAGGATAGGCTTAGTAAAGCTTCAGCGATAGAAATGTGTATTCAAGGGATTCACTGGGAGATTCTTTATATCTTACAAGGAATAAGTCCAAAGTCCTTCGAAGATCTAGCTACTCGCACTCATGATATAGAGTTGAGCATGTCAACTGCTTGGAAAGGTATGAATTTTGTCCACGATCCTCGCAAAGGAAGAGCAAGCACGAGCCCAAGAGATATAGCAAATTTATGCCCATAAGTGACAACAAAGAATCCATAAATGTTAATGTGTCTCCAGAGAAGTTTACTACGAATGAGGGCACAAAGCAAAATGTGAAAATGAATTTTTTCAAGCACGTTCGAACCAAAATTTGATCCTAAGGGAGATGCAAGAAAAGAAATACCCCTTCTTGGATTCTAACATTTCTGATGTTTTGCTTGCGTTAAAGCTCATTGAGTTTTTGGAGATGAAGTGACCTGATAATGTTGGGAAAGCTGATGACACAAATTATTGCAAGTATCATAAACTTGTGAGTCATCCTCTTGAAAAATGTTATGTCTTCAAAGATAGAGTGATATGATTAGTTAGAGAAAGAATATTGTCCTTGGTGATGAGAAAGTAGTTCTAACCAAATCTCCATCACATTTGGCTCACTCGATCCATCCCAAATATGCATCTCTGAATGCATGAAGGAGATTCATTGGAAAATAGAATTCTCAAGCTGATATAGATGCCGATGAAGGTCGAATTCTTGTGACTAAGCGAAGACGCAACAAGTGAAGCTTACAAAAAGAATCATTAGATCAACCAATTAGAAGGAAGAGTGTGAAGAACTGGTAAAGCAAAAATTAGAAGAAGAATTGAAAGATTTGTCGGATAAGGGCTTTATTAGACCAAGTGTCTCCACTTGGGGCGCTCCGGTCTTATTTGTGAGAAACAAAGATGGTTCCCTTAGGATGTGTATAGATTACCACCAATTGAATAGATGATTCTTTTGATCAACTTTAGGTTGCTTCTTGATTCTCGGAAATTGATCTAAGATCGGGCTACCATCAGTTAAAAGTTAGGGAATGTGATATTTCAAAGACAACTTTTAGAACCAGGTATGGGCACTATGAGTTTCTGATTATGTCTTTTGATTTGACAAATGCACTGGCAACATTTATGGATTTTATGAACAGAGTCTTCAAACCTTACTTAGATTTGTTTGTCATTGTCTTCATTAATGACATACTGGTTTATTCAAGGAATGAAAAAGATCATGCTAGTCACATCAGTATTGTTCGGCAGACTTTGAAAGATAAGTAATTATATGCCAAGTTCTCCAAGTGTGAGTTTTGGCTTAAGTCCTTGGCATTCTTGGGCCACATTGTTTTCGGTGATGGGATTAGACTTGATACCCAAAAGATAAAAGCAGTTCAAAGTTGTCCTAGACCCACATCTCCAACAGATATACGGAGTTTCAAGGGTTTGGCTGGATATTATAGGAGGTTTATTGAAGGTTTTTCATCTATATCGTCTCGTTTGAACAAGCTAAATCATAAGACAGTTAAGTTTCGATGGTTTGAAGCTTATGAAAAAATGTTCAAGAATTGAAAAAGATATTAACTACTGCTCTAGTTTTGACCTTACCATAGGGTACTTAAGGTTTTTTGGTGTACTGTGATGCATCGAGAGTTGGTTTGGGATGTGTGTTTATGCAGAATGGCAAGGTTACAGCTTATGCATCTATACAGTTGAAGGTTCATGAGAAGAATTATCTAACTCATGAATTAGAATTGGTTACAGTAGTGTTTACTTTGAAGATATGGCGTCACTACTTGTTAGGTGTTCATGTTTACATATTCACTAATCACAAAAGCCTCCAATATATGTTCACTCAGAATGAGCTAAATCTCAGACAAAAAAGGTGGTTAGAATTACTCAAGGGTTACGATATGAGTATTCTTTACCACCAATGTAAGACTAATTTAGTTGATGAATCCTTAAGTATGTTATCCATGAGGAGTACCGCCCATGTTGGAAATGAAAAGAGGGAGTTAGATATATATGCACACACTCACACGTCTGAGAGTCAGACTTATGGATTCTAAAAAAAGGGATAGTGGTGAATGAAGGGGCCGAACAATCACTAGTGTCAGAGGTGAAAGAGAAAATAGACCAAAACCCCTTTTTCTTGACTTGAAGGCAAATTCACAAGAAAAGATATTGGATTTTGAACAGGAGGGAGATGGTGTACTGAAGTACCAAGGTAGATTGATGGTACCTAGGGTTGATGGACTTAAAGAGAGGATCTTGGAAGAGGCTCGTAACTCCAGATATTCCATTTATCCGGGTTCCACCAAGATGTACCACCATTTAAGAGAGGTACATTGGTGGGAAGGCATGAAGAAAAAAATTGTTGAGTTTGTTGCCAAGTGCCCAAATTGCCAACAAGTGAAAGTAGAGCACCAAAGTCCTGGAGGTTCATCTCATACTATAGTACTTCCAGAATGAAAGTGGGAGATGATTAACATGGACTTTATCACAGGCTTGCCAAGATCTCGCAGGCAGCATGATTCTTTTTGGGTGATTGTCGGCAAAATGACAAAGTCAGCCCATTTCTTGCTGGTAAAGACTACTTATTCGGCCGAGGACTATGCTAAGTTGTACCTTCAAAAGGTGGTGAGACTTCATGAATTTATGGTCTCCATTATTTCAGATAGAGGTGCACAATTTACTGCACAATTTTGAAACTTTTTCTAGAAAGGTTTGTGTTCAAAGGTGAACTTAAGCACTGTTTTTTATCCTCAGATAAATGGACAAGCAAAGCGTATTATCCAGATCTTAGAAGATATGTTGAGATCTTTTGTGGTTGATTTCAAAGGAATTGGGATGATCACATAACTCTCATTGAGTTCGCTTATAAAAACAATTGCCATTTGAGCATCCAAATGGATCCATCTGAAAATCTTTATAGGGGAAGATGCAGATCTCTTATTGGGTGGTTTGAAGTTGGTGAAGTAGGGATGATAGGACTAAATCTATTTCACCAGTCTATGAAGAAGGTGAAAGTTATTCAAGAAAGATTGGAAATGACATAGAGTCGCCAAAAGTCCTACACATATGTTAGGAGAAGGCCGTTAGAGTTTGCGATGGATGATTGGGTGTACCTGAAGCTCTCACCCATTAAAGGTGTTGTGAGGTTTTGTAAGAAGGAAAAACTTACTCCCCGGTATGTTGGTCCTTACAGAATCTTCAAGAGAGTTGGCAATGTGGCTTATGAGTTGAAGCTACCCCAAGAATTAATGGTGGTTCATCCGGTATACCATATTTATATGTTGAACAGGTGCTTGGGTGATCCTTCATTGATTGTACCGACTGAGAATGTTGATATTAAGGATAGATTATTCTACGAAGAAGTTCCGATTCAAATTTCTAATTGTCAAGTTCGCAAGTTGAGGACAAAGGAAGTTGCATTAGTCAAGGTTCTTTGGATGAACCAATTCGTTGAGGAAGAGACTTCGGAAGCTGAGGAAGATATGAAAAAGATATATCCCCATCTCTTTGAATCCGGAGAGAATGCATATCAAGGTATTAAATTCTCTTCTTAGCGCTTATAAGACTATGTGTAAGCAGGTTGTTAGTTGCTTTTGTTGTTGAGTTCTTAAATGATGTTAAAACCCTTAGCTTAGTGAAGTAGTTCTCATTCGAGGATGAATGTTTCCAGGGGGATATATTGTAACATCTTGTACCTTGAAATAACTAATAATAATCTAAGAAACCAAAATCATCATTTTTGGAAATAAATAGGGAAATCTGGAAAATTTCCTAATTTTAAAAAAAGTCAGTTTTGACCATTTTCAAACGGTCATAACTCCCAGCTCAGGAATATTTAGAGTGAGTTTTGTATATTTTTGGAAAGATATCGCGAATATTTTTCCAATGGAGTCGAGTTTGTGCATTTTTGATGTTGTATAAGGGAGATATGTCCTTTGAAAGTTGGGTTGTTGTATTGAGGAAAGTCCAATCCGAATTTTAGTAAGGGTAAAGTTGAGAATGCTTAGGGAATGAGGAGAAGAGAGAAGAGAAGAGAAAGATCAAGAATTCTTTAAGAACGCTATGGTTTTGCTAGTGGAATTCGTCGAGGGTGATCCCTATCGAGGTATGTGAGATATTTCTGTGTTGGGTTCGTTCACCCACACACTATTTTCTTTCAATTAAGCAATCTATGAGTTGATTTCATGTTAGAAGTTAAGTTCTTGAAGAAAAGTTTTGAATTCTTGTTGATTGAAATATTGTTGGTTGAGTTCTTGTTTCTCTGGGTAATTTTGAGTTAAATTTGTTGGTTATTGAGAGTATCTATAGTTCTAGATGTTAGGTGAAAGAAATAGAAAGTTTTGGAGATTAAAAACGAGTTGAAAAATTCGTCAGACGTATCTGGTAAGGAGCAGGCACGTCGCGCCTGTAGTGCGCCAGAAAATGGCCTCAGTGAACAGAGGGTTGGCGCGGCGCGCCGCAACCAAGCCTCAATATACTGAGGCTGGCGCGGGGTGGCACTTGTATGCCCAACTCGGTGGTTTTTGTCCAGTTTTCATGGTTTAGTCCTTTTAAGTCCTTCCGAGGTACATTAACACCTTCCAATGATTCTAATTATTTCATATTATTTCTAAATACATAGAAATCATCAAAGAACTCAAATCAGAACCTTGAATCCATAATACAATTCTAGAAAAGTTAAGGTCAAAGTCAAGGAAGTTAAGGAGCCAAGTCTAAAGCTAAAAAATAAGTTAAAGTAAAGTCCTTAAAGGTTTTCAAGGGTCTTATTTAAACATTTTAACTTTGTTTTACGACTCAAGTTCAAGTTATGCAAATAGTAAGTTGAAGTTTTTTCTCTAAAGGTATATGAGGACTAAGTATTCCCAAAGATACTTAAAATGTTTTAACATTTAAATAGTAAGGAAGTTTTGATTTTTCAAGGAGCCTTAGGAAAAGTTTTCAGAAAAAAATTATAGCTTTCTACAAGAAGTAAGCAGGGAAACTATGATTTCCAAGATAGCCTTGAGCTAAGTATTTAGAGCACTAATCTCAAAGCTACATATTCAGTATGTTTTTATAAAAATAAGAGCCAGTATATATTTGGGAGGTAGTATTAAGAACCCATGTGGGGATGCGAGTTCATATTAACTCAAGTCTCCATGAAAACCATGTAGCCCTCATGGGTAGAAAAGGGTCATACCTTTTAGATGAACCCTTCTCACAGTTTACTAGTGGATCCATTAGGCAGTTCAGGTCCTATACTCTGGCAAGGATAGGATGGCTGGACAGTGTGGTCCGAGTAATGTTGTATCATCGCTATAACTCTTAAGTGGTGGTTGTCGGTTAGGGAAGCTCCCACAAAATAATTGTATTTTCATACACATCAGTTATTTGTATTGCAACATACATATCAGATATTGTTTGTATACTTGTATACATTCAGAGTTTATAACGTATTTTAGTCAGATTTTTTTTATATTGCATTTACTTTTAAACTGCATATATTGAATAAGAGTTGGTAAATCATGAGTTGAACAGAGCCAAAGTAAGTGTTCTTTCTTACTCCTTTTCAAGCTTAAGTTACGTTTAGCATTCTAACTCACATACTCGTACATTCAATGTACTAATGTCAGTTGGACTGCATCATATCATGATGCAAACACAGGTAACGATGGTTGACATCTAGCACCATTGATCTAGCTGAGAACCCAGAGTCAGTTGGTGAGCCTCCTTGCATTTCGGAGGACATATTTTGTTGCTTTCTAGTTAGTTCAATAGAATGTTGTGGTATTTGTCCGAACAATCATCCCAGTCAGTTTAGAGGCTTCATAGATAGTTAGTAGTTCAGTAGTCTTTACATTTTCAATCTTATGTCAAAGACTTGGACTTCCATTTTGGCAATGTTGAATGTTTAAACCTTTATAGACATTCCTAGTTACTTTGTTATATAGTTGAGATAAGTTTTTAATCATCAGTACAATTTTTGTCTTCCGCTGATTCAAGTAAGTCAGGCCAAGGGTTCATTCTAGGACAACAATGGTCAACGAGTGCCAATCCTGCCTACGGTTTAGGCTCGGGCGTGACACTAATCAATTTCTTCTTTAAGATTGTTAAAGACTTTTAAGAACTTTGCTCTTTTAGGTATGTAAGACTATCATAGTGTTATATTAGTTCATCCTCATGCCTTACATCTACTTTCTAATTAGTAAAAGAGTAATCTAGGATTCCATCCATAGATTTGAGTATTCTTGAGATAAGTTGATTTTGAGTTCTCGAGGTCTTGTTTATTTTTGAAGTTCTATTCCTAAGTATTGTTATATATGTTATGCATTAAAATTCTTGAGTTGATTCGTTGATGTCTATATTTCAGTATGAACCATATGAATTAAGTATTTTTGAGAGGATAAATATCTTAAGTTATGAGTTTCGAGTCCTTAAGTTCTTGAGTCTTGAATAATGAGTTTTATTATTGTTATTAAGATCCTTGAGTTGATGCGTTCATTTCCATAATTCCTTATGAACCCTATGATTTGAGTTATAAATTTTTGAAATGGGTTTTAAAGCCAACACTTGAGTTCTTAAATCGAGTTTTGAGAAAGTAAAGATGCGTTTTGAGAAAATAATTGCTAAGACATGATTAGTATGATAATCGAGTATGTCATCAATGTATGAGTAGTATGGTATCTAGATATACCATCAATATTTATGTAGTATGACTTCTCGAGTCATCAATGATCATATTAAATATGAATTTGATATACTTTTTAGAAAGAGTTTTCAAGTATGAATTGACCAAGAGTATAAGAGGATTATGTATTCCTACATGTATCAATTTTCACATCGATAAAAAAAAACTTAATTTCTAAATGAGTCATGATTTCAAAAGATATTTCAACGGAATTTACCTCTTTTAAGAGAATAGTTTAATCAATTATCACAAACTAAAGGAAAAGTTATGTTTTAAACATATGAGCATGATTAAATAATATTGGGAGTAGTATTGAGCACCGATATGGGGATGAGTTTAGACAACTGAAAGTCCCCATAAACCATATATGCCAACATGGCTAAAGGGTCATTCTTTTTTGATGATTATTTATTACTTTAAGCATAACTTAGTGGATTCACTTAGTTGAGGTGCTCTATATTCCGGTAAGCTATGAGATAGTTCTGGCAGGTGGAAAGACGTTGTATAATCATGTAGCTCATATTGATTGTTGTCGGATAGAGAATCTTCCAATAGAGTTAAAGTGTATTTTTATATATTTATACATCATTATTATGTTGAGTTCGGATATGAGAAAGTATTTTGTAAAACTTTAAATGATTTAAGTCATTTTATTCTTTATCTATTGCATTCCTTTCTATTAGTTATTTGTTGTTCAGCTATATTAAAAACTCGTAAATTCAATTCGATGATGTCATTTGACCAGCATATTTTAGTGATGCAGATACATGTTCTAAGTATCCTCAACAAAAGTCTGTTAAGATCATTTTGTCAGCTTTTGAGTAAGACCTTCTTGCTTTCGAAGTGCTCCAGTTTTATGAGTTGTTAGCATTAGTAACATTTTGAGTAGTCGTGGGTCTTATCATGACACCCGTCTTTATATAGTACAAGCTTTATAGGTAGACAATTTTGGAGAGTCTTTCAACTTTTAGATTTTTTATTTAATCTTATTATTCATACTCAGTATATTCAGTAAAGTTTTGAGATTTAGCAAGTTGTTATTAAAGGTTTATTTTTATTTAATGCTTATGTATGCTTGAATTAGTTTTCTGCATATATTCAGCGGGGATGCCGGTTCGCTTAGGGACCAACAACGGTTCTTGAATGTTGACCACATCCAGGGTACTAGCTCGGGTCATGAAAAACTTGGTATCATAGCACAGAGTTCAAGTTTCCTAGGGTGTCTATGAAGTTGTGTCAAGTAGCATATTATTTATGGTTGTAAGGGGCCCATTTCTATAAATGAGTGACTACATAAATTTTAGAAAAGTTTCCCTCTTTTCATACTCTAAATCGTGCAATAAAACTATGTAACAAGAAACTCGTTCAATATCGTGTGTTACTCTTATCCATTTGACTACCCCTCATACTCAAGGAAGTTGATAAGTAAATCTAGATCCTTATGGATGAATTATTCTTAGCAAAAGTCTTCAAAAAAGTCAAGATACATCAGAGGGGCTAGAGAGAAGCCCGTGAGTAAGTTAAGTTTGGGGATTAGAAAGAATACACTTTAATTCATATGCATCGCGTGTTCAAGCTAAAATCGAGATGTATTCCTACACTCTTTTTCCTAAACCCATTTCAGTTTCACTTATGAGGAAGTGTGTTTTAGATCTTGAGCAATATTTTCACCTAAAGATATAGCATGAGTTACAATGTTATAAGTAGTTGTAGTAAAAGTCTCCAGATTTAGAAGAATGAATGCAGAGGTATAATAATCTAAGAAAGGAAGATAGTGATTAGGCAAATTTTGTTGTTTTAGTCATACACTCAGTAAGTTATTGATGAAGAGTTTTCCATTATAGGTAGAATAAGAATTGATAAGTTTGTGTAGGTTTCATGATAGAA